GCTCAGCGGCAAAAGCGCCTGCCTGGCAAGTGCAAGGTCGTGAGTTCGGTTCCCGGTACCGGAGAAAAACCAAAAAAAAAAAAAAAAAAAAAATACAAGAGAAACAAGACAGTCTTGTCCCCCATGGGCCACCTGAGGACAAGTCAAACAAGTCATTATCGTACGACTTAGGACGTGTCAGTTGTAAAGAAAATTCTGGGGCTGAACAGCACTGAGTCTTCCAGGTCCATGTATCTAGGGTGTGCATGGAGGAGATGTCAGGTAGGTTGCCTGAGGTTGGCATTGGGAGAAAAGAGAAGCCTTATGCCAGAAATGGTCAGGACAGAATTCCAAATTTTCAAAATAGGTCAGAACCTTTGTGCACTTACTATTTTGTATTTTTCTTGTAGCTGTTTTAAGGTACATTTTGTTTTATTTTATTTTATTTTATTTTATTTATTTGTCTTTTTGAGACAGGGTCTCACTATGCAGTTCAGGCTGGCCTTGAGCTCACGTTGTAGCCCAGGCTGGCCTAGAACTTGTAATGATCCTCCCACTTCAGCCTCCTGAGTGCTGGGATTACAGGCCTGCACCACCACGCCTGGCTTTAAAGTATATTTTAAAGTGATTTCACTGGCATTTAATTTTATATATAATGGGAGAATGGGGTCCAGTTTTAATTTTATCTGTGTATAGTAAGTAACCATACCACCTTTGTCTGTGATCGCCCATCTCAGCTCTTAGTTTTCATGTTTGCGAACTTCTGTTCCTGTGCTCCCAGTTCTCTTTCACGGGCTTTCTTGTCCCCATAGTATCCTAACTACTACAATTTTTTGATACTTCTAGCTGCTTGAGCCCTCTAACTTTGTTCTCACCTTCCAACTCTTACTCTTAGCCCTTGGTGTTTGTATGCATTTTAGAATCTCCTTTTCAGACCACTACATGTACACGCATACACTGTTTTTATTGGAATTACACTGCATTTATAATTAATTTGAGAAACATTTCATCTTTATAATATTGAATATTATAATCCATGAACATGGATTTAAGGAACATTTTACTAAAAATATGATAGACCACTGTAGGAAAAAAAGAACCTTGACCTCTGTCTCACCCAATGCACAAAAATTAATTTGAGTTCGATCATAGACTTCAAACATAACTTCTAGAGGAAGACATAGAAAATCTTTGTTACTTTAAAGTAGGCAGAGATTTCTTAGGTCCTAAAAAGCATGAGTCATAAAAGAAAACAAATGATCAGTTACTGAACTTCCATCAAAAACTTTTGCTCCTCAAAGGCATTATTAAGAAAATAAGTTTAGGCCAGGCATGAACTACGTAGCAACACCTGTTCCCCCTCCCGTAAAAAGTGTATGCACTGCATGTATATGACTGTAAATGACGAAGGGAAGAAAACAGCTTATTTAAAAATAGGCAAAAATCTTGAATAGGCATTTTCCAAGAAGCCATACTTATAATCAAAGCAGATGAAAAGTGTTCAGCATCATTGGTCATCAAGGAAATGCAAGTCAGAGTCACAGAGAGGTATCACAGCATACAGGTAAGGGTGGCTGAAGTGAGAAGGAGAGAGACAACAGCAAATAATGGAAAGGATACAGAACCACCAGAACTTTCACTTGTTGCTGTTGGGAATGTAAAATGGTATAACTTTCACAAACTGTCAGTTTTTAAACATATTGCAGTTTTATTCTCAGATATTAATCCAAAAGAAATGAAAACATGTCCACAAAAAAATTTTTTGTATAAAAATATTCATAGTAGTTGTATTCTGAATAAACTAAAAATGGAAAGTGCCCGTGTCTGGCAACTGGAGAACAAGCAAACTTGTATATTCATACAGTAATATACTACCCAATAGAAAAAGAAGCCAACTATTGATACCTTAAAGAACATGGATAAATTTCATGACTTTATGCTGAGTGAAAAAGGCAGACACAACAAATTATACAACATGATATTACATTTTTATGAAATTCTAGAATAAACAAAACCAAATTGTGGTAATAGAAATCAAATCAGTGGTTGCTCTGGGGTCAGGGGTTGGCTGGGAAAGGGAACAGGGGAGCTTCATGGGAAATTTTCTGAGTCTTGCCAAGGGTGTGAATTACACAGTGGATGCATGTGTAGATTGAGTGGTGCATTTAAGATATGAGCATTTTGCTGGGTGTAAAGTATGCTTTACATTAAAATAAACTCATATTCTAGGTCTTCATTAATAGGAGTATACATCTAGAGTTGATAAAAGTGGTCAGGTTAAGGAATCTTTATACTGCTCCTTCAGAGCAGGTCTTTAATAGTGACAGAGACAGACTACTTTAAGTGCTAAATTTAGCTTGAGCTTTTTTCAGTTGTGTGGTATAAGGAACTATTTTTAGGGCTTTGGCAGAGTTCAGGAGTAGTTTTTATAAAGATAGAAAAGGTAATCCTTATAGATCTTAGCTGGAACTGGACCTCCAAAACCTCACAGGCCAAGTCTGTGCTTTGGGCTCCCATACAGCAGAGCAGTGGACCATTTTGTCTTACCAGCACAGCTAGCAGTGTCTGCAGACATTCTGATGATCGTGATTGAAGGAAGGGATATTGTGTTACTGGCATCTATTAGGTTGAGGCTGCTCAGCATCCTCCAAAGCACAGGAGGGCACCTCCACCTCCTGCCAAAACAAAGAATTATTTGATTCAAACTGTCTTGGTGCCAAAATTAGGAAACCTTGTTCTAGACCTGCTGTTATCACTGAGGCTGAGTCAGTCTCAATCGGGTGTTGACTGTACTCGTGGTCTAAATTGATTGTGCAAACTTGGCATTTTTACATGGTGCATATTTATTCCCTGACAAGAGTTTATATCAAATATGTATAGCCTTAAAATTGGAGACAAAAGTTCCTGCATCAAGAGCACTTCGAAAATCAAAATTGTATGTATTGCAATGGTTGAATGTTAAATTTAAGACACTGTAAGTTTTTTTAAAAATCTTTATTTCATTACATATTCAAACAAATGACTTCAGTTATATTCCTTGCAAAAAAAAAGGAGGGGGGCTTTGTTAACAGATCAGAAGAAATAAATGATTGTAATTCATCTTTTTGTTCCTTCTTCCACAGAATGACAGGCAGAGAGTTTTTCTCTAGATTCCCAGAACTCTATCCTTTTCTTCTCAAGCAGTTGGAAGCTGTAGCCGATACAGTGGACAGGTAAGAAGAGAGCAGAGTGGGGAAAGTGAAGTCAGGGGTGTGAAGTACTTTATTACTCAAGATTTTTCTTCTAGGAAACAGTTTTTAATCAACTTTTTCCTTATAATACAGATGGTTTTGAAAAAATAGTGCTTTTATACCACATTGCTTGACTTTCTGTCATAGATTTTTTTTTTTTTTCTGTCATAGATTTGTACCTGGAAAGTTATGTAAAATCCCATTTCTTTGTTAGATTTTTAAGAATACTGTTTTATATTAAATTTTATCTAATTTAATTCAGTTTTCAATGTTACCTGGAACTAGCTTATTACAAGTACATGATGATTTCTTCTGTTAAGAATTACTTTCTTCCTCTTATTTTTTAAAAGTGTGTGCTTAGAAATTGAGTTTGCGTAGTGCATACCTGTCATTTTTTATTACTGAACTGTTACAGTTTATCATTATGAGATTACCATAGTTAGCTGACTAATCTAGTCTCCTGTGATCATAATGGTCATGGTCTACCTGAGCAGAAATAGCCAGTGACCTTGGAAATACAATCATTAGGAGGGCTTCCAGTTTCACCATGCAGAGAGAAGTTTGTCATTGTCCTCTGATCACATGGTAGTGTGCCCTTTTGATCTATACCTGGTAGTGAAACTTTCAGTATGGACAACATAGAGCTTTTGTATCCTTCCCAGCAATTTTTGCACTTGGTAAATGTATATAGATTATCTGTAATTAAAATCATATCAGTGACTTTTACTTTGGTTTACAACCTATTTCCTCACATTAGTAATTCGTACAGTTGAGCTTTTTTGGCCCTGCCAATTGATGACCTGTTCATGCTTCCTTAAATACATTTGGACTTTGAAAGTTTCCCATTTCATAGTCTGAAACAGTAGGCTCTACTTACGCAAATGATTAGCTTTGAGAAGAGGATGTCTGTGCAAAAGCACAATCCCCATCTTTGCCAGGAATTTTTCCTCACGGTGCACATTAAGAAGATACAAACTGAATGGAGAAAAAAAGAAAGCTATCCCTTTGATCGTTTAGAGTCTCACTTCATATACCTAATTATTTAGTGAGAAAAAGTGTTTGAAGGTAGTGTCTCTCTTCTGGAATCTTAAATCTGTTATGTAAATAACTTCTTTCAGTGATACGGGAGAACCAGGTCGTCACCCAAGCATGTTCCTCTTGCTTTTGGTACTGGAGAGACTCTACCCTTCCCCGATGGATGGCGCTTCTTCTGCTCTCAGCCTGGCACCTTTTGTCCCCTTCATTATAAGGTAGTGTTACGCTTCGTGGAAATAATGAGTTAGACATGAGGATTCATGGGAATATTTTATCTTGTTCTTATTTCAGAAATTATAATAGATTTGTTTTTAAACACTTTGGGAAGGGGTCATGTGAAAGCAGGCACATGAGGCTTTTTTGCCATTGTTCCTAACTGGCCCCCAGTGTTTCAGAGGAAGGTGTTATGTTGTGAATGCAGAAATTCATTAGAACCTACTGTGTGAGTAATGTTCCCCCTGGAGACCTGCCTGCTAGTGGGTGGATTCGCTGATAGGAGATAACTCCTTTTGAAAAACATCTGCATTATCCTTACATCGCCTGGCCAGCATGGAGCAGGTTTGGTTTTGGCATGTGTCCCCTGTCCAGCAGTTCACAAGGACATCAAGACATTGGTCTTCACTCTGGAGGAGTCTGCTGAGGTGTGCAGGGAGTGGCATGTTGAAGGCAATGCCTCGTGGCCCGAGTTCCCACTCATCTTCTCCTCTAAGCTTGGGTTGCTTGAAGAAGAGTGACGAGTGTAGAGTATGTGCCAGGCCTACTTGCTTCTAAAGCCTACTACCCTATTACAGGCCCTCTTACATTTTTTAAGGCATCTGTGACCTTCTGACTACCTTTATCTTGTTGCGTCAAATGCTCTAATAAGTAGAACTCCAAAAAGTGTTTAGATTTCCTTATGAAACATTTCAGAAACCTGTCATATTAAGATTCTGCTTACCTGTTGAAAACAGCACCTTTGTTTTAATCTTTCACCCCAAAATTGAACTAGACTTGCAGCAGAAGGCTAAGAATACCAAATTCAAGAGTGTGTGTTTATTATTTGTGTGGCGCTCTGGGTTCCACTTCCTGGTTTCACAGGGCTGACTTATGCATTTTAATGTGAGAAACCATGAAACAGATTCTGATATGTGATTGCTGTGGCCGTTTGTTTGCGCCGAGCCCCGGCTGTGGCTGTGTTATCTTTGATCACAGCGGTGACTCACTCAGACTGGTTTTTGTTTCCTGATGCGCAGTTACCAGTGCCCCTCATCCAGCATTTAGTGATTCATTTTAGGAATTCGGGTGGTAAATTTTACTTTCAAGGACCTTAAAAGTATTCACTTTCATAAATACCTAGGAAAAGACTTCAGAAATGTTTTCAGAAAGTTGATTCAAGGGGGAAAGTCACATGCAGAGAATCACAGTGTACCTGAGAAACAGAGCATGCTGTAGAATCTCATCATCTGTGTAGAAAGCATTCAGTTTTGCAGGTTTTTACTAATCAATCTGTTGTGAGTTGCATCCTAGAAGCCAAAAAGTACTACATTGAAAATAGCCATCCAGACTTGTATGTTTACATATGATGAGAATGCACATATTACTTAAATAATCAAAGTACCTACTATTTTTAACACAGATTGCATTAATATAGAAGATTTAAATGTTGCTTTGAAGCCAGTGTACGTAGTGCATTGCTTTTTAAACTCAAATGATACAAAGAAATTTGCAGCCATCCTGTCCTTCAGTGAAAATGCCATGGCTGATAGCTGCTTTCTGGCTGAGTAGAGATTTACAGAGCACCACCAGCACCAGAAGTGCTAATTCCTTAGTCAGGAGGATCTGTGGGTGGCAACCCATTCAGGACCCCTCCAGTATCTTAAGAGCTATTCTTATTCCTCATTCTTATTCCCTATTCTTACCCACCATTCCCATCCCCAATAAAATTTCCTACTCTTTAAAAAAAAAAAAATAGCGTCAATAGGCTCTGACCATTGAGTGTTTATATGTCATGGAATGGTGTATTTCAAAGCAGCCATTGGGCCCCTTTAAGTTCTGATCCAGTAGGTTCCAGGTGACAGGAGAGTTGGCCTTCCTCATACAAGTGATGCCATGCCACTGGTCTGTGGCTACACCAGCAGAGCTTTACAGCCAAATAAGACAGTAGCTAGGCTGTTTAAGGTGTTTATGAGTGCACTTTGACCCAGGAGTGCAGAGAATGGGCAAAAAAGCATGTTCTGAACAGAGGTCAGTAGAAAGTAGACAATCACAATTGAGCCTGCCTTTTTAGACATTTTCCTTACCATAACTCTGAGAGGTGGTGGTATCACTTCCTTGTTTCCATTGAAGAAATTGAGGTTCATGAAGAAAGTAAAGCAGTTATATGACAAAAATTTGAACCCAAGAGTTCAGGGCTTTGCCAGGCATATTAGATATATACTTTCTATTACACCAAAATTACTGGCTCCTCTTTGTGTCCCTAAGCAATTCAACCACGTTGAATGTGCCTAGGAAGCCTGAAAATTCTGCACCAAAGAGAACTGAGGAGCCTATATGCATAGTCACAGTGTCTGAGTATAGACTCTGTTCAGAATATAGAACCAGTGTCCCCACCGTTGGTGGGATCTGCTTCTTGTTTTGCTTTTCTAGTAGTAAAGGTTGTCTGTAGATTGATCACCTATATGTGATCAAAAATACATCTGTGGGACAACTGCTTGGTCATAGGGTTGGTCCATGGCTAGATCCAGAGGAAGGCTAGCTCTTCTTGACCGTCTTCTATAGTAAAGTGGGAGGACCCTACACTCAGAAAACCCAGTTTTCGGCTTCAACATTCTACTACAGGGACAAATCATACTACCCCACATGTTCACTGGTGAGGTGAACTTTAAACAGATTTTTTTAAAAATAGTAAATGTGATAAAAATATGCACATTTTATTTAATGACTTCTGAGAACAGTAAGAAGGTGGAATTGATCATAAAATTATCCTAGCGGTTTTTGTGATTTTGGTCGTGGTGAGGGTTGGGCTGTTTTGCCTTGGTATAAAAGCTGAAAAGAGGGATATATGCACAGTAGATAGACGGTGTTTGATCTTGGTATCATCGTTAACGGTAACATATGTATTTGAATCTCTAATCAGATTCAAAGACACTCTTAAGTTTAACTAAAGAAAAACTATCCAGCTGATGGGAGCGTGCAAGGGCTGCTAAAGTGAATTGTGTTAAAATGAGTTGCACAATGCAAAGAGGATTGAAAGTACCAACAGTTTTTTATTTCCTTTTGATTTATGTATATTTACCTATTTCTTTCTTCTCTGTATTTATAAGTATTATTTGTATTTTTACTCCATTATTCCATATTTAAGAATATATCCACGCTTATTTCTCTAATGATTTTATTTGTTAACATAAATCTTAGAAGTTACTAATCTGGATTTTCTGTCTCGTGTGTGCGCACGCGTGTGTGTGTGTGTGCATGTGTGTGTGTGTGCGCGTGCGCTGTTGTGAGTGTTGCGTCAAAACAATAATGGAACAAAAATGATTGTCATCTCCATCTTTTATTTATGATTTTTTAAATTCAGTGTATTTTTTAATCCAGATACACAGCCATTTACCACATTAATGTGATGCCTTCAATTTAAGACTGTTTGCCCTGAGGTTCAAATACCACAAAGCAGAGTAATGCATGTTTTAAAAGGAACTCTGGCTCTCTGAATACAGCTTAGACATAGTACCCACATGTCTAGGGCTTTCTAGAAACTGGAAAGAAGTCTTTTAGAGACTAAAATGTCTCTGGCCATGCATCTTTGAATTCCTTTTCACAGGCAAGTTTCAAGTTTAAGTTGAAGAACTGTACGAGAGCATACATGTGCCAAACTTAGGACCTTCAAGTCCCAAACAGAGGCCCACAACTCAAGGGACTCAGTTCTATCCAGGCTCTGCCCCTTGCTACTTTTTTTTTTTTTTTTTTATTTTTTTTCCTCCGGTACCAGGAACCAAACTTACGACCTTGCGCTTGCCAGGCAGGCGCTTTGCCGCTGAGCTAAATCCCCAGCCCCTGCCCCTTGCTACTGATAGTAACACTTGGACCAGAGTTTTACCTTCTGATCAGTATAATGATCTGTGTGGATTTGGAATCTGCCGAGGAAAAACTAAGGTATCACCATCTAATTAATATCTTAGGGATAAATCCCTTTGCTACATTTCATTTGCTTTTCTGGGTGACTTTAAAAGAGCCTCTCTTCAATTTAACTCTTACTCTCTGCCCCTTTTTGCTGATTTTCATTGCAAATGACAAGTTTTCAGTGAAATCTGTTCTTTTTTTTTCTGATAAATAGAAGTCCACATAGCAATACAATCTTAAATGCATGGCAGTAGAAATATGTCATAGAACCTTTGAACCATTCTTGTACCAGATTTTACCAGTCTTAAAAAAGAAGAGACTGGAAATCCCCAAACTAACAGTTGGCCCTCTTAAGCTTGTGACACTGGGAAATATATTGACTCATGTTTTGTTTTCCTTGAAAGTTACATAGTTTAGGGATTATCGCTTTGCTCCTTCCCCAGGTTATGAAGTGAAACGGCTTGTTTTTCATGGTGGTGAGTTGTGGGTTTTCCAGGAGACAGTAGTTGGTTTCAGCTTTCCTTCAGAACTGTAACGTGGGTACCTGTCCTTCAAGGATGCATGTCACATTTCTGTCTGCTGTCTTCCCTGAATCCTTCCAGATAAGTGGAAGGCAAGATCTTCCTTACAGAGAGATACAGGAAGCAGAAAACGGTATCAGCACTGCTCGGGTCAATGTTATGTCCCCCCTCTATCTTTCCCTCAGCTCTGGCCACCTCCCTTGCTCTGAAGTCTGTGGCATGTGTCGCTAACGTTTTTTGTTGCTGCTCATCATTACAGTACTATATTGTAATATTCTGTGCCTCTTCTTTATAGAGAAATCTTAATCTGCTCCATCTAGAAGCAACTACAGGTTTTTTGTTTCGCAGTACCTTTCTTCACCTAATGCAGCTTTGGGTGTAGGGTCAGATCGGATATAAGATTGAAACTAATTTGGAATTGCGACTTCGTGCTGAGCAGACTTTTGTATCTCTAAAGTACTCAAGGGACTTCTAGCTGTACAATATTAGGGAAACATTTTGTATCCCATAAGTTAATGCTATGTAGAAAAGAGGCTTGAGTGGGTTTCATGTTTTATTGGACCTTTAAGGGGTCTTACGGTCTGATATGAGCTCTG